CGAGGCTGCTGAAGTTTGGGGGCGGGAGCTGGGCGCGGCAGCGTGGGGTGCATCCCTTAGGTGCAAATCTTGAGTATCGGTGTGTTTGGGGTTTCTTACAGTGGTCTCTTGTAGCAGTGTTTCTCTTGTTGCACTAACCTGTGCTTTCCCTCCCTCTTCCTCTCTCTTTTGGATGCAGATACGAGAAGCAGAAGGAAGAAGAGGTTTGTGTCCAGCCCCCGCTATGTGGAGACCATGCTGGTAGCAGATCAGTCCATGGCGGAGTTCCACGGCAGCGGGCTGAAGCACTATCTCCTGACGCTGCTCTCTGTGGCAGCCAAGTTGTACAAGCACCCCAGCATCCGCAACTCCATCAGCCTCGTGGTGGTGAAAATCATGGTCATTTACGAGGAGCGGAAGGGACCCGATATCTCTTCCAACGCGGCCCTGACTTTGAGAAACTTCTGCAGCTGGCAGAAGCAGCACAACCCTCCCAGTGACCGGCACGCTGAGCACTATGACACGGCAATCCTCTTCACCAGGCAGGTGAGGGACGCGGAGGTCAAATCCCCATCCCCACGCCCATTGCTTCCTGCCCCTGGAGGCCCCCTCTGCCGGAAGACCTCCAAAAAGGCATTCAGAGGCAGTCTCCTGTCATCACAGCTTCATCAAAGTAGGCTAAAACCAAAATGAACTGCTTTGTATTTAGTCGTTTATTTTGCTGTTTGCGCCATCGCAGGTGAAACTCACAGTACGTGCAACGTGTTTCTGCCTCATATATTTTTAGCAGGTTTAGTATGGAAATTATGCATTTTATTTCTACGTGTAAGCCTTGTGTATGTTCCAAAGACAGATTTTTGCCATCATACCCATTGAAGTGCTGAATATTTATGCTCTTTCCATAAGTAAAGGCAAACTGCCAGGGCTGCATGTTTCTTGCCAAGGTTAAGTCTCTGATCTGATTAATAATGAAACTGCCTTTTTTTACAGGACCTCTGCGGTGCCAAGACATGTGATACTCTTGGGATGGCTGATGTGGGAACAGTTTGTGATCTAAACCGCAGTTGCTCTATCATAGAAGACGATGGTTTACAGGCTGCCTTTACAACAGCCCACGAACTAGGTACTTGAAACTTTGAAAAGGCATTTCACGTGATTAATTGAAGCCGGCTCGATGCCGTAAAGCAAAGAGCTGCTCAGCCTCCCTGGCAGAGTCAGGAGGAGGCAAAGCTTTGCCGTGTAGCAGGGTTGAACTGTGGAAAGCAAATCCGGTCTGCACGGCAATGTCTGCAAGAGCTGTGTATTTGACTGACTGCAGAAAAAAAGCATGTGAGAAGCCTGTGAGGGGAGTGGAGATATAGTGCCATCTGCTTAAAGTTAGGCAGTATTCAGATTCAGGTTATTATCTAAAGAACAAGCTATGAACAGCTCTAGAGTAATGTTTAAAATAGTATTGGTAATGCATAGGACAGACTTCCTAAAATCACAAGCTCTCCTTATATTATTATTTTTTTTAAGGGCACGTGTTTAACATGCCTCATGACGATGCAAAGCAGTGTGCTGGTATTAATGGAATAAGCCGGGATTTCCACATGATGGCATCGATGCTTTCCAATCTGGATCGCAGCCAGCCTTGGTCTCCGTGTAGTGCCTACATGATTACAACATTTTTGGATAATGGTCATGGTAAGATTATTAAGCTTTCCATTCACGTGGTATTTAAGCTCTTGTGGTTTATTGCTTTGCTTTTTTTTCTTTCTTTTTTCTTTCTTTTTCTTAACAGAGTGCTTTCTGCTACAGCATAGAGTTAACCTTTTACAATCTGCAGATGAATTTAGAAGACCCTTAGTTTCACAAAAACGATGGCACAAATTGGCTCAAAGACTTATGTTACAAAGCAAATGCAGTTCCAGAGATGGAAATACATTTTTCCCTTTTGAGACCGCACTCACTGACAGCATTGTCTGCTTTTTTTTTTTTTCTTTTTTCTTTTTTCTTCCTTTTCAGGTGAGTGTTTGTTGGACAAGCCCCACAAACCAATCCAGCTTCCTTCTGACTTGCCTGGCACGTTGTACGACGCCAACAGACAGTGCCAGTTTACATTTGGAGATGAGTCCAAGCACTGCCCCGATGCAGCCAGTACGTGTACGACGCTGTGGTGTACTGGAACTTCTGGAGGACTGCTCGTGTGCCAAACCAAACACTTCCCTTGGGCAGATGGCACCAGTTGCGGGGAAGGGAAGTGGTGCATGAATGGCAAGTGTGTGAATAAAACTGAGAAGAAGCATTATGATGTAAGTATTAAAAAAGAAATACGGAATATGTCCTGGGTTTCAGAGGAGCACGGATAGTGCTTTAGTGGGAGTATTCAGTTGAAAGGGCTTGAACAAATGGAGGCAGAGAGCCAGTAAAACAAACTTGGAGTATTTTTTTTACAAGTGGCTTAGCTGAAAATGAGCACGGTTGTGGTTTTTGTGGTTTGGTTTGCTTTTGCTTTTACTGTATTAATTTTTTTGTTCTGCTTTTGCTTGTTGTTCCAGACCCCGGTGCATGGGAGCTGGGGATCCTGGGGGCCATGGGGAGAGTGCTCCCGGACCTGCGGCGGTGGAGTGCAGTACTCCTTCAGGGAGTGTGACAACCCCGTCCCAAGGAACGGGGGGAAATACTGTGAAGGGAAGCGGGTGCAATACAGATCATGTAACATCGAGGACTGTCCAGACAATGATGGTAATCTTTTCCCCATTTTTGAGGTAGAGGGAGGGTATCTTGTGCAGGAAGAGCATGTACAGAAAGATGATCTGATGTCCTCATGTCTTTCCTCTGCCTGCAGGCAAAACCTTTAGGGAGGAACAATGTGAAAAGCACAATGAGTTTTCCAAGTCTCCCTTTGGAAGCGGGCCTGCAGTGGAGTGGACACCCAAGTTTGCCGGTGTCTCTCCAAAAGACAGATGCAAGCTGGTCTGCCGAGCAAAAGGAACAGGATACTTCTTTGTTTTACAGCCAAAGGTATTTCAAAACTGTATCTCTTTCATGTAATAATGAATAAGATTTTTATTTTCTCTAACTCTTTATGGGAAGTTAAGAGTCAAGGAATGTAGAAATCTGAAATTATGTCTTTCTCATATTTAAGCTAGATTCTTCCTTCTCTTCCTACACATACAGCATGCTTTAAATAATCTGGCACAGTCCTTCAAGTTATTTCACACATACCACCTCTTCCACCCACTCCACCCTAGTTTCCTTTCCTCTCCTTCCACCAATTTGATTACATTGAGATATGTTTGGAAAACTGTGGGAGTTCTTTGCCAAAACATTGGTGCTTTTTCATACCAGTTACAAATACGCTGACAGCTTAAAATAAACAGAAGAAAAAAATGTTCATCTTGCATAGCTACTTGAACTCACTGTCATAAGATGCTGAGAGCCAATAACTGCGAGGGCAGTGACACAGATGGTTTTTGCAGAGCAGTAGTCCTAGAAATAAAAGATACACTGAACACCATTAAAAGCAGTTTTGGTCAAGGACGTGACTACCTTCTAGTGACATTAGGAAACAACATTATTTCTTTGTATGAAATCAGTAAAACAGTTTTGTGGGTGGAGGGGTTTGAGGAGGATGTTAATAGAAAATGAAATTGGTTGTTTTCTCCTGTTGCCGTGGCAACGTTTTTGTAAGTGAGGTGAAGTAGCACTATATACCCCCAGCTCTCTATGGGCTGCTTTGGTTTTTGGTTTCAAAAGCCTTGAAAATACAGGTGCTGCAGGTCTTCCACCTGTCCATGTTTTGTATGTGTCTGTATTACGCAATTTCAAAGCAACGTCCATCTTCTAATCAAAGGTGCTACTGCTTCTTTCCTGCAAAGGTTGTGGACGGTACCCCATGTAGCCCTGATTCCACCTCCGTCTGCGTCCAGGGACAGTGTGTAAAAGCCGGCTGTGACCGTATGATAGGATCCAATAAGAAGTTTGACAAATGCGGTATCTGTGGTGGCAATGGATCCACTTGCAAGAAAGTGTCTGGCACGCTTGTTAGAGCAAAGTGAGTGTATAACTGCTGCTATTTTTTTGTTCTGGTGAGTGCTTTGTGGATGTAAGCTTTGGATTTCCAAGTCAGGGAGGTGTTGCCCCAGTTTATTGTTGGAACTGAGATTTGATCTGTCAGAGCCATCTGACTGAAGATAACTTACAGTGAGATCGCAGTGAAAGGAAGCCCCTTACATGTGAGCACACCTCTGCCGTAGCAATAACATGGGATATTATTTTGCAAATCACTTAATCCATTAATTCAATTAGGTTGGCGGCTCATGAGCTTAATGCTTCAGCTTCAGATGTATTCCAGTCATGTGCCAGGCAGCTTCTTCCCTTTCACAGGGAAGAGTGGAGGACTCAGTCTTTCTCTTTTCTTTTGGACAGGCCCGGCTACCATGATGTTGTCACCATTCCAGCTGGGGCAACGAACATTGAGGTGAAGCAGCGAAACCACCGGGGTGCAAGGCACGATGGCAGCTTCCTCGCCATCAAAGCCACAGATGGCACCTATGTCCTCAACGGCGATTACACCTTGTCGACACTGGAGCAGGACATCACCTACAAGGGCAGTGTGCTGAGGTACAGTGGCTCCTCCGCTGCCCTGGAGAGGATCCGCAGTTTCAGCCCTCTGAAGGAGCCTCTGACCATCCAGGTCCTCACAAACCGCAGCCCAAGATCAAGTTCACCTATTTTGTGAAGAAGCCCACACAGCCTGGGTCGGAGAAGGCGCCCACTAGAAAGAAAGAGTCCTTCAATGCCATCAAGGAGATCATCTCCTCCGAGTGGGTCATCGAGGAGTGGGGCGAGTGCTCTAAGTCATGCGGCTCGGGCTGGCAGCGGCGGGCAGTGGAGTGCCGGGACCCCCGGGGGCGGCCGGCCACTGACTGCGCCCAGGAGCTGAAGCCTAGTGATGTCCGTCTCTGCGCTGATGTGTCCTGCCCGCAGTGGCAGCTGGGGGACTGGTCACCCTGCTCTAAGACGTGTGGGAAAGGTTTCAAGAAGAGATTGTTGAAATGTATTTCTTACGATGGCAGCGTGCTGCCGCAAGAAAGCTGTGAGCCTTCCAAGAAACCAAAACACTTAATAGACTTCTGCAATGTTACGGACTGCAGTTAAATAGTATAAGTTGGGAAAGCTAAATTTTTTTTTATTATTTTTTTTCCTTCAGAACAATGCACTGAAAAAAAAAAAAAGAGGGCTAGAGGCAGCATGTGTGTTTTTGCATACAAAATTTATGGTGAGGATCCGTTGAGGTGGGACAGTGCAAATAGCTTTAGTTGGCATTGCATCCTAAAAATACCCCGCCAACTGAAAATTTGATAGGATAGCAGACCCATGTCACTCACTCGTCTTCAGCAGATAAGGCCCAAGGGCATTATAATTGCCTTTTTTTAAAAGTCTGTTACAAATTTAAAAAAAAAAAAAAAAAAAAAAAAACATGAGCAGTGGCCAAAACACATTTAAGCAAACATTTTGGGGTTCAGTTATTTCTCCCTTGTTTTGGATTTATATTGTGGTACTGATCAAGTCCCCATGTGTAGGAAGGGGAGGGAAAGGGGAGCGGAAAAGATAGCTTAAAATAATTGGTCAGGGCTTACCTACCTCACAAAGGACAAAAAACAGGATTAGAAAAGGAGCTTTAACTATGTCATTCATGGCTGCTATTGTTTCAGAGAATAGTTTTATATAAAAATAAAGCCATATTCTCTACCTGTAAAAAGTAAGAAATGTCAAGAAAAGTCAGTCAGCTCTACAAATAACCAGAATGTAATTTTTTAAAGTTATTTTTATGTCATCCCAATGTGCCTGTCCATTTCTCTCGTCCACTCTGATGCCATTGTGGCATACGTAATCCAGAGGCTAGAAAAAGTGGAAATCTTCATGGAGCAGGCAGCATCTCTGAGTAGTTGTTCTTTGTGCCTTCTGCATACCTTCCACTGGCTTTTCTGATTCAAGCTTGGTCCTACCATCCTACCATCCTGTCAAACAGACTGATGGCATTTGTGAGCATTTGAGTTGTGCTTTCACATTCAGATATTTTATCTTACCCTAGCCAAAGGAAATTGCTTGTATTAGGGTTAAAAAAAAAAAAAAAAATCCAAAGAAATCCCGCTATGAGTGGGAACCTCTCCTGTGTGGCCTCTGATGGGTTTGTAGTGCTCAAATCACTGATAAGGCGGGAAGACAAAGCTGAAGGATAGCAGGTCCATCCACAGCAATACGCCAACATTTGCATAATTAAAAGTTTGTGCCAGTCCATAGACAATGAGAGAATATGGCTTTCCATATGTATATAGTAAAATATATTACTATAGATTTTATATACTTTATAAGTATTTTATATTTCTTTCCCTTCTGGGAAGGGTTATAATTTGTATTAAATGCATATAATGAGCGTATTTATTTTTATACTTCTTGTCTAATGTGATCTTCTAAGTTATCGCTTTTTTAAAAGGACATATAACAAGGATAGAGTATTTATACAGTATAATATGTTACTAGAGGTAATAAATGAACCTTATAAATTTTGGAAATGGAGCGTCTTTATTTCACTGGAGTAAAACTAGTCCATTGAGCGGAAAGAGCTTGGACTCTAAGGCAAAGTTAAGAAAAAAGCTAAACCACATTTTTCAAAATGACTGGTAGCTTAGGCTACTAATCGACTGTGTTGGTGAAGGGGTTTGGAAAACTCTACCCATAATGTCATATACTATGTTAAAAGGGGTAATTTTGTATTTTATTACTTAACCACTACCAGAGTGCTCAGCACTGTTGTTTCATCTTTTAAAAAAATGGAGTGCAATGAGACTGATGCCACTGGTTTTAATAACTGCTTACAGAAGGAGTATGGCTGTCAGTGGTGTTTATAACCAACAAAATATGTACAAAAGTAGCAGTTTTACCTGCTCCACTTAACCTTACCCTACTGGGAAAGAAGCATTCAAAATTCAAACCCACTAACTAGCAGTCAGAGGTTTCCCTCACAAATTTCTGGAGGGCCTCCTGATCATGCTTTTCTAATTAGAAGTACTGTATGAATGAGCTGTTCTAACGCTGTTGCTAACACGTTTTATTATGTTAAAATACATACTGAGCATCAAGAAACTGATTTTTGCTCCCTCATTTCTGATCTGATGATCACTGCAGTCGAGGGAAAATCTTCTGTTGAACTCAGTAGGATTTTTGCCATGGAATTTGAGACATCAGTCATTTATGAATACTTTTGGCTTTGTGTCATGTAAAAATCTATTAAAACTTCCTTTGCCAATGTTTGGACTCTGTCTTGCAGAAATAGTTCCCACTTTATTCCATGGATAAAATCCTGGCCCCTCTAAAGCACGTAGAAAAATTCTCATCACGTCACACTTCATTGAGCATTACTTTGTCTTTGACATACAAAAACACTGGGGAACATTTTATTTCTAACAATATTTAGGAGGAGGAAAAGACTTTGTTTTTATAAATACTTAGAAGAATTTATAAATACAAAAAATAATTATTTATTTGCATATATGTATCTATACATATATATTTTACTACAGCAGGTTAAAATTAGGAATATATACATTTTCAAGAGAAAAAAAAGTGTATTTTATTCTCATTTTCTGCTGTTGTTCTTACTCCTTGTAGACTTCATAGCCTAACACATAGATGTTGGCTGATGTTGCCTGAAACACCCTCCATGTAAAAGCCCAAGGAGCTACAGCCCTGAAACTGCAAGACCCTGCCATATCTACAGAACTGGCAAGGTCCCGTGGCTGCTGGGTGATGGTGATTGCCCGAATTTGCTCTCATTGATCTAGGAGAAACATTCAAGGCAAGGCTAAGAAAGCCCTGCAGAGGAAACAGCTTCTCCCAGACCTACCCTATCAATTAAAGCAAGCCTAGGGTGCTGACATACTCTCACTTCCTGCAGTAGCGCTTAAGGAGGCTCTTGGGAGAGAAGAAGAGTGTTTCACAGGCACCGCCTTTCATGCTGAAGGGAATTTGGATCCAATCAAATTCAGCAAATTCTCCCTTTTTAAACAAAAGGTGCTGAAGTGACCTGCGTTTCCCAAATGCTCCAGCCTGTATTACCTACATGAGATCAGTCAGCCCCGTGGTTAACTAGAGCTAGGTGAGGAGTCAGAGGGACTGAGGGAAATCAAACACATTCACTATTTTACAATAAGAAATGGCAATAACAACTTTTTTTTTTACACTCTTGCAAACAACTGCATAATAAAATCAGTGATGAACAAATAAAAAGTGATGACATAATGGCAGCCTATTTTCTAAGGTGGCATTCATTTCTTTAGAGCATAAACATAGCAGCAGGATGTCAACACGTTACCCGCATTGACCAGTTGATCCAGTTGACCAAGACTGCAGCATTTCCAAGTCATAGTTTACTGACTACATATTTCTCTTTGACTAGATCATGAATTCTCAGGAGTTGCATCTGTTATACAGTAATATGGTTCATGAAATGGTTTTCTGTTTTTAATAGGAGTAGGTGATAAAGAACATGATCGAAATAATGTATTAATTAAGCAATGCAGTCAAAGAACTGCTCTCTCCCAAAGTACCCTTCAGTTACAAGAACGTCTGCTGCTCTGGGTGACCCGGCAAGGGGAAATGAGTGAAAACAGCAGAGCAAAGTTTAGCTGTGCAGCAATCAATATCACAATTGAACACCTCCCCTGCACCAAGAGTCTGGCAATTTATAGCTTTTTATTACAAAGGGCTGGATAGTTACCTGCTTTTTGTGTGCACGCTTGTTGCTGTGAACAGGAATCCTAACACTGTATGCTCTCAGGAACAGAAGTAGCACTGGAGCTTTTGTTGGGGTAGTAGCTCCAGTAGCACTGGAGCTTTCTGCCAGCCCAGGCACTCTCTCCTAGAGCCAGGGCCCTACAAGTGGGCTTCAGACCCTACATGAAGATTGTTGTTTTCAACCACGTTGTCTCAGCTGTCCAGCTTGACAGGTTGGGTGGGAGGTTTCTAGTGCCTAGCATTTCAGCTGAGGACAATGTCACTCCAGTTTAGAGCCAAATTTGTCCAGCTTCCCCCCAGGCTCAGGGAAGCCAGATGTTATAGCCTTTTTTTTCTTTTTTTTTTAACATTCTTCTGTCATAATATAAATGGGTTTAGCTGAGTAGCATGGGCTCAGGAGATGAAATCTGTATCTTCAACTATTTTCACAGGTATGGGGAGAGGCAGGTGTCTAAATGAATGAAATGTGTCTTCCTTAATTGGCCTTGGTTTCATTGCTTTCAAGGCTGAGTGATCTTCCAGTACTTGGTGAGGCTAAAGTCAGTCTCTTGGCAGAACTGGGCAAATGAAAGCAATGTAGTGAGTAGTTCTTTGCCAGTTCGGGCATCATGAGACTGAGGAAAAACTCTTTCCAGCCTTTCAGTGGCCTTAAAGGGCTTGGCATTGGGACAGAAGTCCAGTCTGAAAGCTAGATCTCCAGAACCCAATCTTCAAACTTCACCATCTAAGTTAGAAAATAACTGGGAGTTCAAATAGGAAGATAGTTATGCTGGAGAATTACCTTCCAGGCTGATTAGGTTAAAAATTGTGTTATCTATGCTGGGTAAGCACTGTAAATTGTGCTACTAGAAAATTCATAGTAGCTGTTTTCCTGTGAGACTGTTAAAATCATAAATAATATGATTTACCTCTTTAAATTGTATTAATAGCAAATAGGAAAAAATAAAAATAAAAAAACAACCAAACCCAGTATGTGACAGAGTTCTTGCGCTGCTGCATTCCCCTCTCTTTAGTCCAATTGTTGTTGTAAAAAAAAGAGATGTTGGTGTTGCCCAAATAATTATTTTGCCACTGATTTTAATATAAGTGACTTCAGAGCAGAGAAAGGTTGCTTGCTGTTACAGAGGTTGGTTCTGTGAGAGCTTTCAGAGTAAAGATATCATTCTATATATCTAGTATGGAAAAACCCGGAAACTGTCTAAAGCTGCTATATACTTTAGCAACTGATACCTGCATTTCAGAGCCATCAGTTGCCTGAATATATTCAGAGCTGTAATTTTAATGTCAGGAAATTGACTTGGAGAATAAAGGCCCCAGAGTTAACATATATGAACAAAACTCTGGTTTGCCAGGTACCAGCA